CCTGTCCTCCTCTGCTGCCCCGGCACCCCCCTCCTGTTTGGTTGCCGCTTGGTCTGGTTGGCTGGTTGTGCACTTGTTTGGTTTCCTCTTTGCCTGTTTGCGTCTCTGTGGACCTTGCGTGCCCTCCTCTGCTTGTTTACCCTCCCCTGCTCTTACTCAGGAACGAATGAATGGAGCTTAGATTGAATGTACGAACATCGTTGACTTGGTTGGTTGTTTCTGTTTACTTTAGGTACTGACTGGAGAGGCACTGACACAGCATTCTTCTGCCCACTAAGGTGACTAAGGACAGCCTTTTCGCTTGGTGCCCATTAGGCCGTCTTTTTGCTCTATTTTGTTTGCTGATCTGTCCTTTCTCTCTTTAAGGGGCTGCCTTTTTCTCTTTGAGTTAATTCGTTTGTTTTATCTGGGTCTCCTTGGTAGGTCCTCTGTCTGGGTACTCTACATGGGTAGCTGAATCCATCCGAGAGGGGCGGTAGTTAGCCGGCCGATGCCATGGACCAGACTGTGCTGCAGTGAGCTTCACCGGTGCATTCCGGTGTTTCTCCCTGTAGGACTGCCTGGGGCGCCCGCGAGCAGCACAAGACTGCCAGCATGGTTCGTTAACTGATGGAAAGATGTGGTAATACTGCAGCCTGCCTATTCTGTGGGTGAGTGGCATTACGGCCGTAGTCTTGCTACAATCTTCTTCTGTGCGTACTACACTACAATGCACTGCAGGTCCTTCAGGGACGATGACATCCTGAAATGTCCTGAACAGTTCTGTAGTGTGTATGTCTTGCGAACCTGCATCCAAGAACGCTACACTGCCTACAACAGCACAGGTATGGTGGCACTTGCGAATACAAATTTGCAAATACAATGGTTTTTCTGCATGTTGCTCTGCTTTGCGAATACTGCCTAAGAAATTCGCAGGCCGAGATCAATCTACAGGATGGGTGCATCTTTCCCTATGAAACTAGGGGTGTGCCCTGTTTGGCGATGGTATGTTTGGAAGTTTTTCCCTGGCCTTCGATGCTTCCCGTTTGCCATCACTGTCCACCCCCCTTTAGGGGGGGGGCCCTGGTTATCTCGGCATCACGACTTCGTGGTCGCGGCTGACAGATATGATGACGACTACTATGTCCGTGAAGGCCCATTGACGAGCTGATTTGAGAGGACTCTGAGAGAGGCTTTACTTGTAGCCCTACTTTCGTGTACAGCTTGGCTCATGTTAGAGTAACTCACAAGCTAAGGCCTTCATGTCTGCCTGGAAAGCCGTGAGCCATGTTTTTGATAAGTGATGCAGTGGACAAGCCACTGCGTCCCATGGCAAATCGATTAGGTGGGTGTTTTTGTTTGGGCTCTGGCCCCGTTTGTGGTGTTTTGGTTGTTTTCTGCTGTTTGCTTCGCTTTTTCCGCTGGCGAAACGGAAGTCTGGCTGGGGGATTTGCGGGTCGTCGTTTTTGGTTGACTGTTGTGGTTTTTTCTTTTGTGTTGTTTCAATCGATTTGCCGCCTCTCAGGACTTCTTTTGTCCTTGTACAAAGGCATTTTCTGCTTATTCTCATATAAGGACCGAGCCTTTAGCGCGACATCGGCCAAACTCGAGGAAAAAAAAGCTGGTTCAGCAGGCTCAGTAAGCCAATTACGCAGACATTCAGGGTGCCCTACAGCCGCTTGAATATACTCAGGATGGAAGCTATTGCCGCAATAGTTTTGACAGTGAGTTCAGTGAGAAGTGAGCGGTGAGCATGCACACGGTCAAAATGGTTGTGTAGTCCAGCTAATTTTTCAACCTCTTCACAGCGCAGGATTCTCATGGGTGCTTTGATGTAGGGATGGTGAAAAATAGGCAGGATAGCACGGACTAGCCGGTCTCTGTCAATTGTATTCACATTTGTTTGTCTGAGTGACTTTAAGAATCGATTCCAGGCGCGAAGGTGGTGTGGCGGTAAGGATTTCTCGAGTCCAGAGCAGGAATGGTATCACTGCATTGCATTTTGGCTTTAGTTTGGAATTGCCCTCTATCCCCCCGGAAAAGGTAATCCCATATGAGAGAAATCGGTTGGTAAGCCGTCCAAGAAAGTTGATAGACATCGTGTCCTAGAACTGCCCGGACTCGGAGCAGTGGTCCAAAGGGGATAGGAAAACCACTGAAATCCAACAAAGGCCCTTCTAGGTCACTCTTTTCCAGGACAACTGTCTTGGAAACCTTGGCGCAGTCTTGATAATTGCGAAAGTAGAATCTGTTACGCGTGATGCCATGAGTATTCTTGGGATCAACACGAAAATGATCTGGAGTCGAATCAACATTCAGGCCAAAAGCACGCAGGATCGCTTTCCGATGGATTTCAAGCATCGTACCTGCATTTTCAAGCAGAAAGCGGATGAGCTCAAGCGGATAGTTCATTTGCAGAAGCCACAGGATTACATGAACATAGTAAAAAAGGGAGCTGCAGGGACCAGTGACTCCAAGGAGTCCTTTCAGGGGGCCAGCTGGTGTGAGGTCCTGGCATGGTGAACCAGCGATGACAAACCAACGACACTGCGGTCCAGCTAATGCAAAAGCTTCTTTAAGTATTCGGCATTGGTCTCGAAGGAGCTTACGCACATCATCAGCATAGAGCGTGAAAGTGTCTTTGCTGGATTGGGTCCATTCACCGTCAATCCGAAAGGAAAATTGCTCACCGACCAGTTGTCTGAGGATTGGATCACATTCTGCAACAATGATGATGCGTGGGGCACCTCCAATAGCTTTGGTGATTGCTGGGATGGCTGAGCCTACGCCGTCAAAAAGACTGATGATAGCATATGGGTGAGCTTTAGAATACTTAGCTCGTTTGGGAGGAGATGCATCTTTGTCCTTGACAGCATTGCTTGAGTGTGACCGGACATTTTCAGCTGGTACATGCTCTTGCATCGGACACTGGGCACTTATGACAGCACTGGCCGGCTCCAGATCTGCCTTTGCATGGGCATGAGGGAAAGTTCCAGGTCCCTGACTAACGATGCCTGCCTGGGAAGGTGTACTGCCACCCTGTTGATCGAAAACAGGTAGGCCAACCATGGGTACCCCACGGTGACCTTCTGCTATATCATCTGCGATATCATCGTTCTGGTCCGTATGTTGGATGTGGATAACTGGGTGAGGAGCAGGCGGTGCAAGTCCAACCATGGGTACCCCATGTTGGTTGCAGTGGCCATTGCCTGCCAACTCATTTTGTACAGGGGAGGAGGTGTGTGCATTATCGAGTGGACAACCAACCACGGGTACCCCGTGTTGGTCGTCCGCCCTACTGTGTGCAGGGGAAGTGTGTGCCGGGGCATCATTCTGATGAGGAGACTCGCCTGGCGGTGAGGGATCAGCTTCCTTACTTTCCAATGCTTCAGGTGGATTCGCCGGAACACCATCATTTCTCACCGTTTTTTTGGCAGGCCGGAAAAATTGTACCGTCTGGCGCTGATGCCAAGGGTATTTTTGGGTCTCGACTTCGGTTGCTTCGGACGATGGAGTTGTTTGTTACAATGATGTACACCGGGCGCGATGGCTTTGTACTGTGGAGGCTGAAAGGAATAAGGTTGGTGATCATGTCGTCGAAAAATGAAGCCCCACACATAAGAGGTTGCTTTCAGTTGTTCAATAGGGATCCATGTATGGCCTCGGAGGTTGTCATAAAGGAGAACCTGACCTTTATTACAGCGCTCAATGATGAGGAAGTGGTGTGACGACTTTCCTTGGACAATGATGATACCTGTAACGATAAAGGATTGGGGAACAGGGTATGCGTTCGCAGCGGGAGCAGTGTAAGTTTGTCCAAGGAAGCACAAAGCTTTGGTAGCTGGCGGAAGTTGTTCAATTGTGCTTGTGATTTTTAGGGTAAAGATCAAGCATCCTTCAATTTCCTCATGGTTCAGTTGATCTTGGTTGTGACAATCACTGGCGTGAGAAAAACCAACGTCATCTCTGTCAAGTGCAAGGCGTGGGACTCGACCTGCAATCATTTGTGGAAGATCGATGGTATCATTTTCAAGGTTAACAATTAGCATTGTATCAAAAAGGAGGCCGACACCTGACCCGATGCGCTACATGAGAGGCAGTTCACTTGAAACTGTGCAAAAAGGAGTTCGCAGTGGTCTGGAAATAAGTCATCACAAACTGCAATAATAGCCGTATCGAGGTCAGAGACCTGTCCCGGGGGAAAAGCATTCAAATTGAGGTAGCTAGCAAACGCAGCACAAACTTCTCCAATACTTACCCGTCTTCCTTGCACAGTGGCTGTTTGGTCAGTCCATGTCCATCCATTTCCGATAGCGCATAATACTAGTTCTCTGATGTGGCCATGAAACATGTTATCGCTCCACGGGGCATGGGTGAGGACACGAAGGGCAGTGACCGCATAGCACATGTAGTTTGGAAATTGAATTAAATAACACGTTGCAAGTTTGGCAAAATAGTCACAATCAGCATGTGCAAAGGAGTTGGGCCATCCAGCGATAATTTCTTTGTTGGAAATCAGGAAATTGCTACTTTGTTCACTGTTACAGAGAATATTGTGCTGCTTAGGCTTGCCTCAGTCGTTTGTCTGCAGGGGTGGGGTTGGTTGCGTCGTGCATGTGTGTGCCGGGTTGGTTCTTGCTGTTTGGATCGGTCTCTTGCCGCTATGCGACCTCTTTGTCTTCCCGCGGTGTTTCTGGGTGCTCCTTCCTTCCGCGATTGCTCCCGCACAACCTGGAAACAAATCAAACAGAAACGTTTTGATTATTTGGAGTGGCCACTGTTTTAGCTGGTTTTCAAATCCTTCGAAGTCATTCAGCTGGATTCACTTTGGCAGATCATTTGGATTGTTTGGCAACTTTGTATTTGGTTTACTGCTTCCTGAGTTTTTCGATGGTTTTCAGTTTACAACACTTGGATGATGGCTCATCAAAGATCACCTTCGGAATACCTTATTTGTGGGAGACCAGGCTCAAAACTCAGTCTGAAATTTGGTAGATAGGGACTAGGGACTCTTCGAGCGCATGGATAGTTGGACAGAACTGGAAAGAATAGATAGCACGTTGGTGAAGGCTTTACGCATCCATTTTCCTTCACCACAACAGGTAGCAACTGCATTCGATGATCTGAGAGGTGCCCGGGCATTGGTGGAAGAAGCGTTAGCTAACAGTTATGGAGCTGCAAGACGAGAGGCGATAGCTGGGGCACTGGTGGAATGGCAAAACAATACAAGGAATCGTTTGAAACGTTTGCGATTGTCAGACGTCAAGGAACGTTTGGAGCATGGGAAACAATCTGATTCACTTGACATTGGTATCACCATGGCGGATAGCTATGAATCAATTATTTCTGGTAGTCCCCTTTTGGGATTGGCTGCGCTGGAGAGTCATTTGGCAAAGAGGCCTAAGACTAGTGCCACGGCACGGGCTGATGCTGAAGAAGTTTCAAAGAAACGATGGGCGCTGGTTCTGGCTGAATATATCACTGAGGCGAAATTGCCCGCAGTAGGAACCTTCGACGGATTGGCGAATGTCAATGCCGCTTGGGTACGAGCTTTTGGAGCGCGTCGGTCGAAGACCCTGCGCAATCGTGCAAAGGCTTGGAAGCGGGTGCGAGATTGGCTTCTGGTGACAACTGGATCGCCGTGGCCAGGGAGTGTGGCAGTCATGTTACAATATTTGGAGGAGCGCAATGAAGTGCAACCAATGGGTAAGACGGTCCCTACTTCAATTCATACGACTCTCTCGCTACTGGAGCTGGTTGGACAAGTGCCGGCAGAGCATAGACTTTCTGGCGATAGATTGTGGCTGGAATCTGTCAAGTCATGGACAGCAGACTTGAGCCGAGATGCAGGTCCGAAGAAGCAGGCAGATCTGTATACAGTGGCCATTGCGTTGAGCTGTGAACTCTTGTTGGGACATCACGCAGCACCTTTGGGACAGAGATTTTATGCTTTCGTTTTATTGCTGCTGCTCTGGGGCACCATGCGGTGCGATGATTTGCAGAATGTGGATCCTTCCTCTATGGAGCTCTCTCAGTTGGGGCTCAAGTTCATTTTGCGCCGCGCTAAGACCAGTGGACCAGGTAAACCAGTAGGTGAACTTCATGGCTTCATTGCACGTGACGTTAGTTTGAGTGGAGTTGATTGGCTGCGTGTTGGTATTGATTTGTTGGAACATGATGAGCTGAATTTTCAGAGAGATTTCTTTGCAATTTCTTTCAGAAATGAATGGGATGATCCAGAGCGACGGTATTTAGAACCTGAAGGATTAGCAACAATGCTGAGAAAGCTTCTCCTCACGTTGCCGACAGTGGTCAGGCGAGGTGGCAGTCTGGCTCTCAACCCTGGGATCATGCTCATTGCACCTGAGATGGCGTCATTTTGGACTGGACACAGTGCTAGGCATACTTTACCTTCCTGGGCAGCAGCTGCCGGTATCAGCAAGGAAAGTAGGGATTACTTGGGCAGGTGGAGCTATGCAAAACATGGCTCACAAGATTATGTTTTGACTTCAAGGCAAGTAGTCCATCGTGTTCAGAGAGAGGTTTGTAAATTCATTCTTGAAGGCGTACCTGCACCTGGCTTGGTGGAGGAGGAACTCATGGAGCGCATGAAGTCTTTTGCTGTTCAGGTGAATGCAGGACCGGTGACCACGGCACGAAGGCACAATGTCATGGTCTGGAGCTTGAACATGGGGGCATGGCATGTTGGTGGCACTTTTCCGCTTTTGCAGATTGCTCCAGTTGTTGATGCCATGGAAGATGAACCAGAACGGAAGGAACAAGGGACACAGGACGATGATGTTCTTCCTGAGGCGCCTTACTTTATCACGATTTCGAGAAAATCATTTTTCAGAAGGTTGCATGTTTCAAAATCATGTGCAGTGCGGCAGGAACGTTGTCTTGTCACCCAACCCATTTACAGTCTCAGTGGAGATGTTGCGGATGCAATTTGCAAACTTTGCAAGCCGAAGCTTAAGGAGGTCAGTCAGGATCCCTCGAGTTCAGATAGCACCAGTAGCAGCGACTGACGGTAATGGCCCTAGTCGCAGTTGCATCCTGATTGAGTTTTCATTTGCGAGTGGAAAATCTTGATTGCGTGCAGTTTCCTGTTTTCAATTTGAGTTCTCAGAGATTGCATCGTTTCTTTTGGAAAGAGCAGTAGGAAAGTTTGGATGGAGAAAGTTGAAATCGTTGTGCAAAAGATTCCTGGAGAAAAGACCGGGATCCCAAAGCGGAATTGTTGGATTTCAGCAGTGAAGAGTTGAAAGCACAACATGGGAAGAAGATCGAGATTCCCTATGTAGTTTCAGGCTCAACGAGCAAGGTCAAATACTGGCCATGAATCCCCCAGACGGGGTGAACGATGCTGCCATGCGGACTTATATCCATGACAAGGTTGAAGGCGATTTGGCTTTCATTTTGCAGGAGAATGGTGTGCCGTTGGCGTTGCAATATAACCTCACACAGGTTTTCACCCAACTCAGACGCTTCAGTGCGATTGCAGATTCCAGACAAGGTGTGAGGCAGGCACTTAGAGATGACCTTCAAGTGGAGGAGAACAGCCTTCAAAATAGGGCTGCAGTTGCTGGTGTTGTAGCAGCTTGGGAGGCATCTAAGGAGTATGCAGCCAAGCAGGCTGAGTTGAAAGCAGAGGCACGTTTGCTTGGAGTGACACGGCCTGTGACCCAGACTGACAGAGCGGCAATGCGTGCAGCTTACATAGCAACACATGGTGAGATTGAAGAAACCTTTGAACCTTCAGATGATTACTTGTCTGCAAAGATTGAAGAGATGGAAGCGCATGAACCGGTTGCTTCATACCTGACAGAGGTAACTAGTAAGAAGACGGCCAAGACCATGGGCATTCAAACAACAGTTGACAGTGCAGGGCATGTGAGAATTGTAAAGAGTCGCCAGAAGGGACAGCTGCCACAGGGAACTGAGGAGCTCCGCACGATCCTCAGAGTTGAGGGAAACACTTGGTGCTATTTGGCAGCAAAGTATCGCAACAACCCGATGATGCAAGGCTTGAAACCAGATGACTGGCTGAAGTATGTCAACTACTTGTTAGGCGACAAGTGCTACTTGTTGAAAATTCCAGGAACTACAGCGGCAGCCGGGAGCTCAGAGTTGGTGTCTTTGAGGCCCCCATGGAGCGTCATGTTGTCCTATGAATTTGAACTCCGAAAGGAGGCAATCAAGAGATCATACAGAAAGAGCTTGCCACTTAGAGAGTGCTTGGAGGAGGTTTGCATGGACGCACAGCTCAAAGAGCAATACTTTACCAGCCCCATTGCGCTGCAGGGCAAAGCGCCGAGAACAGAAGAGTTTCACGGGGGCGGCAACAACGGCCGAGGCTGGAGGAGACCGGAGGGTTCTGGTCGGCAGAATCCACCACACAAGTGGTACAAGGGCAATGGAAAGAAAGGTGGAAAGGGCAAGTCGAAGCAGAAGCAGTCTGGAAAAGGCAATTCAGAGCACTCACTTGTTTCATTTACAGATGACAACAGGCAGATTTGCTTTGCATACAATGCTCAGGGATGCAGTGGTGGTTGCAACAGGGTTCATGTTTGCAGAGTGCGTGGATGCGGGAAATCGCATCCGATGTGGCAGCACTACCAAGGTTTGATGCAGAAAGGGGGGAATGAAACACCTCCCAACAACAAAAACTGACAAACGTCAGACGATCTGCCGACATTGCGGGTGGTCTATTTATTTGCTGGCGCCTCAAGGCGTGGTGATATTAGGGAACATTTGCAAAGTCTGGCCGATAATCAGTTTCACCTTGAATTAAAAGAGTTGGATTTGGAATTGCATCATTCTCATGATCTGTCTAAGACAAAGCTTTGGGATGATTTGTATTCCGAAATCGATCAGGGGAAAGTGGACGTTTTGCTTTGGTCGCCGCCTTGCAACACATTCAGCAGAGCAAGGCACAACTTCAAACATGGCGGACCACGACCGCTACGGTCGGCTGCGTGGCCACTGGGGTTTCCATGGCTGCGTACACAAGACCAGGAAACAGCACAAACTGCGAATTTCTTTGTTTTCCAATGCCTGGAGGCTGCAAGACGAATGCATTTACAGAACAAATTTTTCTGGGGTGAGCATCCGGAAGATTTAGGCAAAACCAAGTCCGGGGACACACCAGCTTCAATTTGGCAGTTGCCAGTTGTGCGCGAACTGGCAGAGTTGACATCAGCAGCATGTTGGCCAATACATCAATGCATTTTCGGGGCACCTTCTTCAAAACCGACAAGGCTGATGTCTAACTTGCCCAGCTGCCTCCAGCATGGACAGCAATGGCCCACCTTTGATGAAAATGGCTTTTACAGCGGACCACTGGGAAGATGTCCGCATGAATTTCATGAACCTTTGTTGGGTTTCAATGTTCAGTTGCAGAAATGGAACACAGCAGATTCAGCAGCGTACCCAGCAGCCATGTGCCGAGACATTGCTCTGGATGTCATTTCTGCTTTACCACTTTGCATGGCGTTGCAGGGGGTACATGCTACAGTGGAACAACCCACTGCACCTTCCACAGTACAGCCCACAGCCACGTTGATTTCTTGTCCACCACCTGCAGGGCAACAACAACAGCAAGGAGAACGAGTGGAGGAGGTGAGATCCTCTTCATCTGAAAACCAAGTTACAGAGCAGCAAGAGACAGAGACCTTTGACATGAAGACTTCAGCGTGCATGGGCCAACCTATTGTGTGCCGCTATGAACACTGCAAGCGGGAGTTCACAGATGGGTTTGGACTTTGCTCCCCGGGACGATGGCTTCCGGGTGCTAGGAATAAACTTGCAGATGCTGAGGCCGTGAACCATGCACTGGAGGTACAGAGGTTATTACTGGACTTCTTGAAAGAAGAAGTTGGAGACTTGAGGACTGAAGCCTTTCGGCTGGCCCTGGGGCATCATCAATGCTCACCGTTTGACAAAGACAAGCTTCAGGACTTGAGGCGTAAGATCGCGGCTGTTTTGAGACCTGGCGAAGAGGGCCCCCTTTTGGAATGCCCGGCAAGGCAACCGTTCTTTCTGCACCTTTTAGCAGAATCCTTAAAGAAGTTGGGAGACCCGGACTGGGAGATTCTGGTACAGGGGGAGGAGTGCTTTGCGAAAGGCGTTCCAGTTGGGATGGAACAAGAACTTCCTAGGACACCTCAAGTTTTCAGGAAGCGAGAAAAGTTTCGGCAGCTTGACATCACAGAGTTCCAACCGGATATGAAAAACTACTCTACTGCAGAGATGTCTTCGGAGCAACTGGAAGACCACTTCCGGAAGGATGAGCAGATGGGGCGCATGATCCCAACTACACTGGCCGAAGCGAAGCAGGAGTTTGGCGAAGGAGCTGTCTTGGTGGCGGCTATGGGAGCGATACAGAAGCCCGACAACACTATACGACCATTGCATGATGGTACACATGGCATAAACTTGAATAACAAAATTCGAATTTTGGATAGACTGGAGGTGCCCGGCCCTGAGGAGGTCATTGAACTGGTTGCAATGGCGGCCGAGTCGAAGGAGTCGGCATTTTGCCTCTCAGCAGACATTGCCCAGGCACACAGGTGCGTACTGGTCCGGAAGAAGGACTGGGGCAGACTGGCCTGCAGAGCCAGCACTGACTCTCGAACATTGTGGCTCAACTGTGTGGGAACGTTTGGAGTCTCAAGTGCTGCATACTGGTGGACGCGTTTGTTTGGTTGTGTGGGGCGCTGGGTTCTTAGGATTTTGGACAGACGCTGGTCGATGCAATTGGCATATGTGGACGATGTGCACATTTTGTGTTTGGGTCCGGAGAAGTTTACAACATTATGGTTGAGCATTTTGGCATATGAGGTCATGGGCACCCCCTTTTCATACCGGAAGTTCAAGGGTGGTCTGGCAGTGGAATACGTTGGATACCAATTGCAGTATGACCGGTGTGTGGCTGGCATTTCCGCCAAGCGCGCCGACTGGGTCATTCAGTGGATCAATGGCGTGGAACAGCAGGGCTGGATGGTGCTGGGTCGGTCCTTTGTGGAGTTTACCGGCCGCATGTCTTTCGTGGCTAGGGTTGTCACATGGCTCAAGCCTTTCCTTGCACCTTTGTTTTCTTGGTCGGCAGTTTTGGCACGAGGGACAGTGACTCGTGTTCCGGCAATGGTTTTCATCACACTGAGATTCTTGCGCGAGCAGCTACAGGTCCATGGACACTGGGTGAATGCAACGGCCCCGTGGACGGCCCCGAGGGAATCCTTCAGGACTGACGCAAAGTGCGAGAAAGGAAGGATCGTATTGGCTGGCTGGTGCACAAGCGCTGGCGTGGAGGACTTGAAACTGGCGAAGTGGTTTTGTCTGGAAGTGGGACCGGAACAGTTGCCAATGTTGTTCAAGGAAGATGGCTCTTCGCAATGGTGCTCCACGGCGGCTGAACTTTTGGCTTCTTACGTGGCGGCGCTAGCCTTTGGGCACCTTGGGCAGAAAGGGAAGGCCACGAATTTGAGGATGGCCATAACTGGTGGTACAGACAACAAGGCAAATCAAGGCTTGCAGGATAAGAACATGTCGACGAAGTGGCCTCTCCTTGCAGTTCACATGCAGGTCTCTTCGGAATTGCTTGCGGGGGGCACACGAATGAAACTGCGTTGGCGCCCCCGGGAGCAGAACGTCCCGGCAGATGCAATTACCAATGGAGACTTCAGCCTTTTCGATTTGAACAAAAGGGTTACCATTTCACTTGCGGATGTTCCGTTGGATTTCTTCAGAACCTTGTGCAAAGCGAGAGATGAGTTTGTTGAGCTGCGTGAAAGCCAGGTGGATCTGAAGTTAACGGAAGGCAAGCAGACAAAGCGTCAAAGGCTGTCGGCAAAGACAGCATGGTGATTGGGCATCCTGTCCCTAAAGAAGGGCGATCTCTGGACAGATGCAGTGCGATGTGAACAGTTTTACAATGCAATGACAATGCGTTTTACTTTGCCGATCTTTTCTGGTACAAATGCTTGAGCGAAAGTTTGAAACTTCCATATGTGCAGTTGGCCGCATTTTGGCCTTGAAGACAGAACCACGCAGAAGTGTGGCAGGATGTCCAACACCCCTGGTTTGAAAAAGAGGTGATTTGTGAAGCTTCAGCCGTTCAGAGTTCAGCATTTCATGTGATGTGTTTTACAGTGTTTGCATTCCACATTTCGGTCAGTTTCAGCTTCGACAGTTTTTGGCCTTTTGTGATTTCAGTTTTACAAGGGTTACATGTAACTAACCTTGCACACACACGCACGCGCTCACTAACCAACTGGTTTCCATCCCTTTCCTTGTAGACATCTTCTGGGGTCCCCTCCACGTAAGACAAGCTGCTTAGGCTTGCCTCAGTCGTTTGTCTGCAGGGGTGGGGTTGGTTGCGTCGTGCATGTGTGTGCCGGGTTGGTTCTTGCTGTTTGGATCGGTCTCTTGCCGCTATGCGACCTCTTTGTCTTCCCGCGGTGTTTCTGGGTGCTCCTTCCTTCCGCGATTGCTCCCGCACAACCTGGAAACAAATCAAACAGAAACGTTTTGATTATTTGGAGTGGCCACTGTTTTAGCTGGTTTTCAAATCCTTCGAAGTCATTCAGCTGGATTCACTTTGGCAGATCATTTGGATTGTTTGGCAACTTTGTATTTGGTTTACTGCTTCCTGAGTTTTTCGATGGTTTTCAGTTTACAACACTTGGATGATGGCTCATCAAAGATCACCTTCGGAATACCTTATTTGTGGGAGACCAGGCTCAAAACTCAGTCTGAAATTTGGTACCCTCCCACCCTCACCTGGGAGATGGACAGATTACGTCAATGCCGTATTGACGTTTACTCTGAAAATCAGTTGAACCGCTACGAACAGCTCTTTGAACTACGACTCACAAGTGTCGTCCTTGGTTTGGGTGTACGGCAGAGCATACAATTCGTCACTTACTTCACTGTTCAGGACCTTTGCATCTTCCGATGCACCTGTTTTGCTATTGCAGTGGATCTGCACGACACCCTGGAAGACTTGACGGAAGCTCCCTACAACAATCTGGCGATCTCTGGACAGATGCAGTGCGATGTGAACAGTTTTACAATGCAATGACAATGCGTTTTACTTTGCCGATCTTTTCTGGTACAAATGCTTGAGCGAAAGTTTGAAACTTCCATATGTGCAGTTGGCCGCATTTTGGCCTTGAAGACAGAACCACGCAGAAGTGTGGCAGGATGTCCAACACCCCTGGTTTGAAAAAGAGGTGATTTGTGAAGCTTCAGCCGTTCAGAGTTCAGCATTTCATGTGATGTGTTTTACAGTGTTTGCATTCCACATTTCGGTCAGTTTCAGCTTCGACAGTTTTTGGCCTTTTGTGATTTCAGTTTTACAAGGGTTACATGTAACTAACCTTGCACACACACGCACGCGCTCACTAACCAACTGGTTTCCATCCCTTTCCTTGTAGACATCTTCTGGGGTCCCCTCCACGTAAGACAACGATAGGATTATGCGTAGCCTTGACAAATATCACATCATCACTGGCAGTGGGTTCGTTAGCATTGTTGTCCAGCTGTTGATAGGCAGTGTTGTGTGCCAAGAGATCAAGGACAGTTTCTGTCGGCTGGCCAGAACCATTTTTAAGTCCATTATTGCTGCGGCTGGTTTGTCGGTTGGATTGACGACATTTCTGTGCGGGCAGGCTAGCTGTTTTGGAAATGCTGCAGGAATGGTCTTTCGGTGTTATGTACTTAGACGTTGAATCATCGGCGATACTGTCAGCAAAACCAATAGGGTTTGCATCCTGAGGTATTGCACGGGTGCGGGTAGGTCTCTGGGGGGCATCATTTCCTTTGGCGGGTTGATCCGGTTGTAGAGGTTCCACAGTAGCTAAAGGGGTAAGATTAGCCGGGGCAGTACTGTGGAGAGTGTCACACAACCGTGGGTACCCCACGTTGGCAACCTCCTGGTGATCAGTAAGCGCATTAGCCTTGTGATGCAAGTGTACTGCGTTCGGAGTGATGGGACTGCGTGCGTGACCATCGCGAGTGTGATGTTCAGGTTGGAGGGATTGGTTATGTAAGGGATTGGCCGTAGCGAGGTTACTGTCAGCGATAGGGGTACTATGACCATCAGTGTTGTCATTATTGTGTTGAGAGTCTCTTGCAGGATCATGCGTGTTGTCATCTTCAGGATCGAGAACTGTTGCAACACATTCCATGGGTACATCTTCGCAATGTTCGCGGGTAGCTGGCTGATTGTGCGTTTCCTGGCGTTTTGGGTGCTTGGTGTCATCTGTCTGTGCAGGTAACATTTCAACATCACTCTCAGGATGTGTGCTCGGAATACCCCTAGCTTGTCTGGGTCTGTGAGGTGGGCAATAAGTGGGTCTGCTACCTGATGGTGCCGAACTCGACTGTCCACGAGTGGGGGCACTCTTTGCACCGCGCATCCCATGACCATTCGGAAAATTATTAGTTGGTGTACCGTTGGTGTACTGATCCTTCAGTCCAGTATGGGCCGCGCCAGCATCAGGGTTTCTTGGAGATGGTCCAATGCAGGCGTGCGCCTCTCGAAGGTGGCAACATTCTGTCTTGTCAATAACCTGTGATATTGAAATTCCAGGGGGGAGTGTGATGAAAATGGAGGAAGGTTCAAAGGTACGTATGGTTAACTCGTCATAATATCGTACCTTCCATTCGTCACGCTCTAGGTGGATGGATTTCAAATGGAAACACTGTTCCGGGCCAAGTATGACATGGTAGAAAAGCCACTTGTGGTAATCTCTGTGCTCAATAAAGTCTTGATGTCGTAGGTCGATTTTGACCGTGTCAGGATTCGTCATGAATGCTTCCTGAATGAAAAAATTGTCACAATAATTGGTCTTTTGCAAGCACTCTGTCAAGGGTAGATTCAACTCTTTGGGCGAGAAAAACCACGCAGGTGGCTGAGACGCAATGGCAATGATGTTGGTATAATCATGCATAGAATCAATGACAGTAGTACGTAAATCATAGTATCTTTTTGCTGACTGTTTCTTATCCGGCTCGAAGGAAAGATGACTGATTCTGCCTTCTTTGGGAATCATTTGCTGAGCGACAACTTTGTTCCAGTGGTCTCGCCTCGTTTCGATTTCCGTAAGGGAGACATCAGCACGAAAATCCTCTGCTGAGGGGCATTGATGTTGAACCACAACTTGGCAAGGGTCACACTGCAGCAAAAGAGGCAGGGAGTCTTCATGTTTAATATCAATGTCAAAACAAAGACACTTTTGTTGCGAAAGGTCAACCTGGCACCAGCGGATCGAGAAATTGACTGCTCCAACCTGTTGTTTTTAATAGTTGACCTAAAGCTGATTGGTCTAATTGGTCATCCATACATATTGATGGGTGAATCTCCGTCCACAGAATTTGTGCAGGAGTATACTGGAAAGAGCCAATCTTGCCAAATTTCACCTGAAAATGGTTATAATTATTGGTGGTCTGTGTCCTTTGAGGTTCCGATCGCATCATGTGGATAGTGAAAGCACCTTGTTTAGGGCCAATAGGTAAATGAACGTCAAGTGGGAGAAGGGCAAGGTGGAGATTAATGACAAGTGACGCAGGTCCAAAAATTGCAAGTCTTCTGTAATTCATGAAACGGTACCTCACTTTAAGATTGGCCAGTTGTACAAGAATTTCCATGAGAACAGTATTCGGAAATGCCTTCAAATCAAGCACTGACATGGTGATTCCATGTGGGAAATGTTTCTGGAAATCTGTGTCATTCCATGGGAAAAAATGCTTTACCTGACACTCAGCAAGACCATGCGACCAAGCGGCATCAACAGTTGGTTGTAGGATTTTCTCCACAAGCTCGATATCTGCCAGGCTGTCATTGGCAATTTGTACAGTGAGTGAGGTAACATCGATCTTGTCTGATATGCGATGGCATCCATTGGGTCGTCGGAAATCAATGTAATTTACTGCAGACAGGTTCTGTAGCTCACTCACAGTCTGGTGTCGTTCAACAACAGTTCTGGGAAAGACAAACTCCAGCGTTCTGCAAGGTTGAGTCCAAGAGACATGACAATGTTCGGCATACGGTTCAACTTGGCATGCGATGAGGTATTTCTCTTGGTTATTGTTGGGGCAAAAAGCGATACCAAGATTTTGCATAAAACTGATATGCTGGACTTTATCATGAAGGAGATTGTATAACCATGCAGAAGCTTCAAATTCACTGGTGCTACTTGAGCAAGTGAAGACGAAATGCACCGAGATATCTTTGTTAATGCATATGTCTACAAACTTCTGAAGGACATAAGCTTTGGGGAGTAAGAGGCAGAGGCCAACTCCTGTATCACTGTGGTCAAAGGCTTCTTCATAAGTGATAACCGTGCCTGAATATCTGTTCGGATCAATGTCACTGGGACAGTTGGCAACAAAAAGATGTTCCTTCCCAAGACTCGACACAAGTTCAATGGCTTGTTGTTCGATTGTCTCATGAGGGTTAAGGTCCATGTTGTCAACTATAACCCAGAGTACCCCTGGGTATAGCGACTCTTGCAAGAGCAGGCCAGGAAGGTAAACTGGGCAAAAACAAACAATGCACAGACAACACAAGCCAAACAAGACAAGACAAAGAGACAAGGAAGAAGAAAGACTACACTGGGTACCCCAGTGAGCCAGTCACAACAAACGTAAACAAAAAACAAGAGAAATACACTGGGTACCCCAGGAGTTCTCAAACAAACAACAGGGTCCAAAACTGGTGTGTTGAACAAGCGCAGACAATGCGCAGGCAAAACTCAAGAGAAGGCAGATCTTAAACAAACAAAACTAAGATAAACCCTCCCCCCCTTATACTCTTATAAACAAAACAGGTAGACGGGCACCTTTGTGCTCTTCCTACGGCAGTACTACCCTAGCCCCTTTATACTGGTGCCCCAGAAATTAACTCACGCAAATCACCCAAGATGGATGTTTGCCCCTTGAGTTAAAATCAGGTTACCCAGTCCCACGGGGTTTGAGCCGATACAGCCTTGAGCCAATGGCTACGGATTGCCATGCACATTGGACGAAAGTAGGAACTCCCAGAAGGACGACATGACCTCTCCACCCTTGAGCAGATTCCCGGCGTACTGCCGTTTGAACTACGCGCAAGCCCCACTACGACTGATCTCGTGGTGCAGCTTCGAACTCGATCACAGAGCAAGAGCATTGGTGCGTGAATTTGGCCATACTGTGCGAGACCCCCACCACAACCTCACGGAACTGGTTGAGACATCGACAAAGCCATGCCAATATTGTGAATATGTGGTATTGGACCGTCGTGCTTCTTCACCTCTATTTGGTACAACAGTTCATTGAATGATGCTTCTATGATACTGCAGTTGACATCGGTTTTCATTGAGATTCTGCACTTTTGATGAGCTGAGAATGTTCTAGCCTTTGTTGGGAAGGGAGGAAGGGGGAGGGGATAATAGTAACCTTTTTAAATGGGCCTCTACTTAATTTTGTCTCTGGTAGCGTAGGACGATGTCAAAGTACATCAAGCCATGGAACCCGTTGCCGTTTGACATTACTTCAAACTAACACACTGACCGGCCATATATGATTTCCAAATGGACGTCCCTATGCCCTTGCTCCGATGAGTTGACAACACTGATGGATGGACCGCCCAGCTGCTCTACACCTACAGAACACCCTGCGTGCAGTTTAGCCTTGTAGTATGGATGGCCCGCCCAATGAAAGATGCTGCTGTCAATCGCCTAGCAAAGTCAATTACTCAACTGACCCTGTGTCAGGTCACTACCAGTGAGGTAGATGCTGCCACCAAACTGCTCGACAAGGCATGCCAGAAGCTTCAAGGTATCCAAAATATCCCATCTCAGAGGGTCACTGACCTCGAAGCTGCCATACGCCAACTCCGCCAAATTAGCTATAGTTGTACAATCTCTGCCAGCTACAAAGTAAGCCAGGCGCAGAAAGCCATACTGCTACTGCCACATACAGCTAAAGGGGCAAGCGCGTCATCGGAAGAGCTTAACGCACAGATATCACCACGCACTGATGATGAGCATAATCTTCCATACCATGAAGACGACTTGGAAGAGCACTAGTGCACAGGAA